TGTTGTCTTGGGTAGGGTGGTTGTCAGCAAGTTTGAGTGCCACACCTCTTTCTGTCTGCCCTGGCCAGGAAGCGCACTACAGCTTCCTGTTTGCACCATCGTTTCTGAAGGAAACAGAATATGGTTCTGAATACCCTTCCTAGTCAGAGGCTATGTTTTTACATACTCAGAGAAGTTAACAAGAGTATTTTGAGTCTTCAGAAAAAGAAAACTGCTCAGATAATAGGAAGGTATGCTCCATTTATACTCCACATCTTTGTGTGGTTTGCTTTAAAATTTTTATTTATGCCATTTTGCTTTTTGTTTGTCTTTGAGTAACACAGTGGCTATTGTGATTCTTGTGTAGGTATTTTGAGGGAAATGGAAATCACCTAACCCCCTGCACAAAGAAACTTTGCCTTTCAAAAGTGAGAGATGTAGTTCCAACTTTACGTTGAAATAATAGACTTCCATGGTAGTAAGCCGTTACTCTTAGAGAAAGTCCACTTTCACTTGGACTTAAATGAAGCATATGGAGAACTAAAATGATGCAAAATTGGCACCATCCCTGGGCTGTTTCTTCTTACCTCAGGCTCCAGGTTTCCAGGAGCCCTCAGGATACCTATTGTCTATGCCTAGGAACCTCCCCCAAGTCTCTCCAATATATGTCACTGCTGAGCACCAGAGATTCTGCCAGCCAACCATGGCCAACAGGAATTTCATTACACAGCAATGTTTGGACTACAGAAAGACACAGGATTTAGTTTTACTCTGCTAGATTAAGTCTAACTCCCACTTACTCCCCACCATCATAACCAGACTTTTCCTTCTTATTTTAAATGCTTTTAACTGTTGGGATTCCATCCTAGTAATGCTAAGTAGGGGTTAAAGGTCATTGTCATCTCACTTTCCCTGGTGATTGTTGGATGATTGAAACCAAGTTGGGAGCCTCTCAGGCTGTGACAGCTCCCTCTCCGTGCCCTTGGTTGTGTGCATCTTTTGTATCCTCGGCCTCTGTGAAGAACCCAGTGGTCTGCTGCTGGTGGTTGTGCTCATGGTTATTATTGATGTTGTGTCTTTGAACTTCACTTTCAACATTCTGTCATAGTTGTCATTTTTAAATAATTATGAAACATCATTTTAAAGACTGATCTCAAGGCAATGAATATGAAGAATGGGATATACTGGGTATTGGATTGCTTATATAAAGTTAGATCATGCTCTTGTATCAAATGTGAAGGTTCCACATGAAGGTTCTGGACCTTCATGGCTATATTTCTGCCATTGAGTAGTTGGCTTCGAGCATACATTGTGTAACTTGTAAAGTCAACATTTGCCCTAGAATGTTCTGTGGTGTTATCCTTTAAAAAATGGACTTCCTGGGCCAGGGAGATAGCTCAGCAGCATAAACACCTGCCTTGCAAGTGCAAAGTCCTGAGTTCGATTCCTGGTACCGCAAAAAATAAAATAAAATAAAAAAATGGATTTCCTGTCTCCTAAACTATATTTTCTGGTTCTATTAGTAATCTTAATATCATTATGTAATAACAATTTGGCTGTGTTACAAAGCAAGGGAAGGCAAGACAGGAACAATTGTAAAGGTGTGGTATAGAAGAACATGCTGCTAGATTTCCTCTGTAGCTAATGGCAGGAATTAAGTACTTGATCCCTAGTCAATGGAGGAAATGGAAAAAATGAGTTCTTCCTTTTATCACATTAAGTACGAAGGGCTTTGTTATGGAAAACCTTTTGTGAAAACAGATCATGTGTGTGGGCCTGTGTGTCTGTATGTGACATACATGTATATAGATTTGTGTAGAGGGAAGAAAACTATGAATGATTAGAAAACTTTAAAGACAATGAGAAATATAAAATTTTACAGTATTTTTCTGTCAATCTAAATTAATGGAAGCACTCGTGCTATTTTTTCAGTGTAAGTTGTTATGTAGCCTAAGAAAATGCATCTTAGTTAATTGGCAATGAAGTTCTTGTTCACATCCTTCAAGATCAGTGTTTGTCAGGTGGAATCAAATGGTTAGAAGGAAATAAATCCTTTAAGCCCATCTGCCAAGAAGGGAAAGAAAAGGAGAGAGCTTATAGTCTTCTACTGGTTTATGCAGAGGTTCACATCACTAAATGAAACCTTTGCTTTCAGTTTTTTCATACTTGAATTTTTTAGGCATTATCTCCACATACCGAGAAACTTGATTTTTTCCCCCTTATCCTATACTGGCGTCCTCCTTGGAAAATTTTTCAACTTGAAGATGCCAGGACTCTTCCTAATATTGAATCTTGGAGATAAGCTTTATGGTGGAAGTCTAATTGGGATTTTTGAGAATCCTGCTTTCCTCCTTATTTTTCTCCCAATAAGAAATGAATTTTTAAACATATTCTGCCTGGCCAGTAGGCTCTCATGGCAAACTATTCATTTGAACATTTCCACATTATATAAGCAATTTTTCCCTAATGTTTTTTTTTCTTTGCTGCCATTTATTGAATACCATTTGACTTCTTATAATGTGACGTCAGAGGAACAAAACAGTATGTGCATTTATTTTACCTTAAAGTTGCAGGCTTCAGTTCCTAACTCTCCGCTTCCTTTTGGAGCAGGGATTGTGTTCACAGAGGGACTTGCGCAGGGCTGGAGTGACCTGCAGTGAGGCTAATGACCGCATGGCATGAGTGCCCCTTTCAGTGCTAGGGGTTTTGATTTTGATTCCTTAAAGAAAAGTCAACTTCAGTTAAAAACTCTCCCTCTCCCTTGTCCGATTATCTTTCGCCTTCCCTCCTCCCACCTTCTCCCTCCCCATCCCATGTCTCCGCTCCCTTCTCTTCTCCCATTCACTGTCAGGAAGGGCCACCCGCGAAAGGCCAGTTCAGCACAACCCGGCGCCGGCAGAGGCTAGCGGCAGCAGTGGCTACCACAGTGAGTGGATTTCGACCTCAAGTGGAAATGTAATGAGAAACTGTGTCCAAGGGTAACCTCTGTTCCCACGGCACCGCTCGTGTGCAGTGGCCTCCACTGCAGCCACTCATGGGGGGCATCTCTTGCACGTGCTCTCTGACTGCCTCTGCGTGGCAGGGGGTGGACGTGGGTGTTCGTTCCCCTCTGAACTATTATGTGGTCCTGTGCTGTACACGTGAGGCATGCTTTAAACTCAACTGTAGCTCCGCTTTGCAAAACTGGGTGTACAGTGCTGTGTGGTAGAGGATTTTCTTAAATCCTAAGGGGTTTTTTCCCCTTCATATTGCTATTGGAACCTCTGCTGATCACTATTTTCCTAAGAAAACCCATGTTGCTATAGACGTAAATTATGCTTGTTTTTGTAGTGATGTGACTACTTGTAAAAGATGCAAGAAAGAAATGAAAGAATAAGAAAAGGTGAATTTGAGGTCCTCTCTGAATGGCTACCCAAAATGCACTGAGCAAGGGAGCATTGTTTTCTCGAAAGAATACTGACACAAAAATGTATAGGAAAGAAAACCCAGAGTAAGATGATATTTACCCCATTTCCAAAGACTTTCTGTCCTTAAGAGAAAAATAGTATGCATGTAAGGAGAGTAGAGAACATAGTGAGGAAGATAAGCAATAAGTGGTGAATATCCACCCAGAATATGTAATAGGATATCTAAACACCAGAGCCCTTTGCTTGGTGGGGTATGATAGCGCTCGTCCCAGCTAGTTGAAAGTTCAAGGCAGAGGATCACTTGGCCCCAGGAGCTCAAGCCCAGGCTGGGAAACAGGGCAAGACTTTGCCTCAATAAAAGACCCTTTAATGAATAAAAGGAAAATAATACAATTATACATTTCCTTAATTATGAAAGTCTATGAATTTGTCAGAGCATGTTATTGTTGTTGGAGGTACAGCTCAGGTCAAGCACTTACCTGGCAACCCTGAGACCCACAATCTCCATGACCACTTCTTTAAAAACTACAGATTGTTGAGTTCATAGTAATTATGGGTGTTGGGTTTTTTTACTCTTACATATTTCCTAAATGAACAGTAGTTTTGCTTTTGTTAAAGGTGGGATATATTTTAAGAGTAGAATCGCTGAAAAATAGGAGAAGATTTTGATTGAATTCTAGCAAAATGGCTACTAGTATGAAAATTATTAGCATGCTACTTTATGGTTAGTAATTTTTCTCTGGCTTTATATCATGATGTTTAATGGGATTGTTTGAAGAACAAAGTTGGTTTTGATCATTGAGACAACCTGTGCCTTGGAATTTATCAGGGCACTGACTCAAAATCAGTTTTGTGAACATTTGAACCAATCAATTTGAGAAATTGCTTTCATGGTCAGTGTATACCTTATATGTGTTTTGAAATGCAGATGAATAAATCTGGACGTTGACGTGCTGACAAATTCTGACAGTTCCGTGTACAGTCAGATAAATAATTCTTAAATGTAATTTTCATTTATAAAATTAAGAAATCCAGCTGGGGAGATGGCTCAGTGGAATAAGTGCTTCCCTGGCAAGCGCAAAGGCCTGAGTTCCATCCCCAGTTCTACAAAAAAAAAAAAAAAAATTCAAATTCAAACCCAGCACTATGGGGCTGGGGAGATAGCTCAGTAGAATAAGTGCTTCCCTGGCAAGCACAAGGGTCTAAGTTCAATCCCCAGTTCTGCCAAAAAAAATTAAGAAATCCAAATGATTATTAGAGTGAGAACAATATCACAATGTGAGACAGAAGGGTCATTCATTTTATGAAAACAGCTTCCTTAAATAACTTTTAAGATAGCATGCCAAGAAGTAATTGTCTTTCTCCTATGTTAATTTTTTAAATTACAGCTACATACAGTGAATATAATAAAACTGGGATTAGCACCTATTTGAATAGAAAGTTTATCCTTTGAAAATAGAAGGTAGAAAAGTTTAAAGAAACAGTCATTAGCCCAATGTAGCTGTGACTGCAGAAGTTTTAAAAATAACTGTAGGTCTGGGGAGTTAGCTTGGCAATCTAAGTACCTGCCTGGCAAACATGCCATGCAGGCCCCAAAAACCTGGGTGCACTGTGCTGGCCACTGAAACCAGGCGTAGTGATGTATGCCTGTAATCCCAGCTCTGGGGAAGCTGAGAAAGGAGGATCACTAGGAGTCTGAGCTGCACAGTGAGACCCTGGTATCAAATAAATAATTTTAAAAACTTGTAATTATCTAATGAGGAAACCTACTGGTAATAATATTTCATAGTGTTTACAGGAGTAGAGCAGGGGAATGGCTACTCTACGCCACCTAGCCATAGCTTTGAAGTCCCCTCCTAGAGAGGGGCACTGTGTAGTGCCATCAGTTGGATCTCGCAGCCCCTCGCCGTCATCCCAGTGTCCTGTAGCTGAGGACTCGGACCATGTTTCCATTGCAGTAGTTCCCCTTAATTCCTACTTTGATTAGATGACTTTGAATCTGATCCTCTCTTTTGCTGCCAGAGCCATTCATCTGGAATCCTTGCAAATGATTCCTAATCACTTCCTTCCTCACCCACTCTGATATCTGTGGCAAATGAGATTGTGTCAAAGAAAGGTGTTTCCAGTGTTTGTGCTTGGTCCTTAACACACAGAACAGGAACTTGGAAGCAGACACTTCGCTCCCTCACCACAGAAGAGCACCAAGATCCCCAGAGCTGGCAGTGCTTCTACAGGGATCTCAGGACACAAGCAGGGATGACAGAGCAGGGACTTTTCCCTCCTGCTCCCGAGGTCCAGGAAGCTTGAGCTCCACCCTAGCCCTCTGTCTGTGCTTTCCTTCATGTTCTCTAGGGCTAAAGTGTTTGGAGCCAACCGTTCCACGCTTAGTTCACTTCTTCATGGGCAAGTGTTAACGTCCTCACTCCAAACCAGTTATTGGTCCCAGAATATGCCAGGGTCAGGTTCCCCTGTCAAACACAGGATTTCAGGGAAGCCTTGGATTTATTTCCTGAGCAAGATAAAAGCATGAAGCATTCCCAGGTATCAACCTGGAGAGCTGCTGGCAGCTCCTAGTCCAACCATCACAACAGAGAAACTAGCTGCCATTTAAAATTGGAAGCGTGTAGTATCCAAATTAATAAATGAAAACTTGAGTAAATAAGTCCTCAAGCTGAAGAAATACTCAGCGAGGTAGATTAATGCATCCCAATTTGTACTCTCAATTTTATTTCTTGAATTAAAATGACCTATTGGAAACACTTAATAAGAGACATAGACAAGATATTAACATCTTCAGTCAGAAGCATATAAAAATTAGTTTTCAGTTTCCCAGGGAGCTGTCTGATGGCAGTTTGAATGGAGCAAGTCCCTTGCCCTGTGAGGAGTCTACATGACCATTTTTACTGGTTTGATAGCCATTTCAAGCCTCCATTATGTTCAACATAGATATTCGTGACTTAGGTGTTTTTCTTTGGCATCCAGTTCCCATGCTTAGTAGAGAGGACGTTGTCCTGGGGTCAGGTGGAGGTCCTTGCTGGACGCTGGGTTTTCACTGTCCACTGAAGGGGTCCTCTGTAGCCTCTCCTCCAGCCTTATGACTTCTCACAAACCCACACAGGACACTCTCGAGTCAGTTGTGCCCCCCAGATTGTTGAGGGCTCCTCAGTGCACCCCAAACCCTCCGTGTTTCTCAGCACTTACCTCCCGTCATCAAACACAAACAACATTTTCCCTAATGCTGTTCTCAGGTTCTTCGTACGAGGAGGTCCTATCCTGAAGTCTGAAGATTTTCTGGTTTGCCCGAGTCTTTGACTCTCACTGCCCGTGAGCCCCTCACCTCCACTAACCTTCCCCTGCTTTCTCTCTTTCCCTCCTGGAGGAATATACGTTGATTGCTCTTTGTAGATTTCATATCACTACAGTTAAATTTCCTCTGTCTGTCCTAAGACGTCGCACCCTCTGAGTCTCAGTCTGTTTTCTCAGATAGCTTATTTGCCAGTCTGTTTCAAATCTAGAAGAGGCAGAAGGTTTGAGCCTGCAAGCTGTCCAGTCAGGTGTAGTCAGAGTTCCCACAGAGGAAGGAGATTGACTTGATAACTCCAGATGCCAAATGCTTTGGACAATACATGTTAACATGCTTAGCTGAATTTCAGAGGGAAACATCAGGTTCACTTCTTTCCCAGTAAGCCTTGGAAATATTTTTGAATAAATAACTTGCTGCAAGGACAGAGCTGCATCAACAGGACCTCTGTCTAGGCTCAGGTGCCCTTCACGTGTATCTAAGGCTAAATTTTTTGGCTCTTTCTACCTCCTCTGTCTCCTTAGAAAGAGACAATACCCTTTTACTCTCACTCACCAAATGTTAGGAAGTATAAAGCAAAAAAAGGAGAAAAAGTTGAATGTTTCATGTATATAGGACCAAAGAAACAAGGTGTTGCTTCCTCTTCCTCCAGCATGTTTCTGTGAGGTAGGGTATGGAGATTAGCCTTTCGGTTATACCAAACTTGGCTTTGGGTAGAGCCCAGACTACAGGTTTTTTGTTTGTTTGTTTGTTTGTTTGTTTCAGAACTGGGGATTGAACTCAGGCCCTTGTGCTTGCCAGGCAAGCAGTTATTCTACTGAGCTATCTCCCCAGCCCCCAGACTACAGTTCTTGAAGACAACTGAAAGAACATCTATACAGTATCAGTTAGGGAGAAGTTATAGGAGATCTGACTTCCAGGAAGACTTGGCATTTCATTTTTCTAAGAATGCTTGGACAATGGCATTTGTGACACTCACGTAGAACCTTCTTGAAGAGGAAAGGGGGAAAAGGTGCTTTTGCTCCATCCATCATGGGCCTAGTCCAGTGACAGCTTTGGATGAGGAAGTACCTTTAACCATTTTCTATATTTTGCTTTTCACCACTGGCCAGTTCAAAAGAAAAAAAGAAGGAAGGAAGGAAGGAAAGAAGGAAGGAAGGAAGAAAGGAAAGAAAGAAAGAAAGAAAGAAAGAAAGAAAGAAAGAAAGAAAGAAAGAAAATAGAAAATAAATTACAATGATTTATATAGTAGATATGCCATGTACTAATATACATTTTAGTAAATTTATTTCAAAAATAATTGTCTCTTTAGGCATTCTTTTATTTCCTATTAAACTTGATTTGTATTTTATCTGATGGCTAGAAAGCAAGTGGATCTTTCTGTCCACCACTTCTCAAATTTTTACATGTGTAGTAAGACCCTGCTACAGCCTCAGAAAAAGGTGGGCAGCAAACAGTCCTATGACATAAGTGCTCTGACTTTGTAAGAGAAGGTCACCAACATTGCAGTCCAGATAGCAGCTGGTGATTTTTTTATGTACAAGTGTGGGTTCAAAGTAGAAGTGAATTATGCCTTTTTTTCTTGTCATTTTGCAGTCATCTCTGTGTAACAGAGAAAAACCAGTGAGTCCAGGACAGTCTAAAATCAACTGTGGAAAATGAGACTTTTTCTCAGCCCCACTACTTGCAAAATAAATGAGTGCTGAGCCTCTCCACACATGTCATCAGAGAGGAATCTTTTCTTTTAAACAATAGGAGCGGTCTTTTCTGTGTAGGAGAAGGTAGATCGGTGCACTGTTGCTCTTTAATAATTTGTGTTTCCCCTTTCAGGTCCCTTTCAGTGCCACTATGTCACCAGTTCGCCTGCATTCCTCCAACCCCAACCTTTGTGCAGATATTGAATTTCAGACTCCCCCTAGTCACCTCACTGACCCCCTGGAAAGTTCAACAGATTATACGAAGCTGCAAGAAGAGTTCTGTCTAATTGCACAGAAAGGTAATGGCAACTCCAGCATGCCCTTTAAAGACTGTCTCTTCTTTGATGAGAATATTGTTTGCTGAAAGATCTATTCTAGTGTCTTTATATGATAATGGTAGGAAGATGAAATAGTTTTATATGTGGTGGAACTCGTGCATACAAAATGCTGCAGGATGGGCTCCTGCCTATTGGGAGAACACACGACAAGTCTCATGACGGAATAGAGTGTCATTGGGGGTTGAGGAGAGAAGAATAGTATATCCTAAGCAGTCTAGTTGGGTGCTACCACTCATCTTTTTTAAAAAACATATATATATTTTGTATTTAGTACAGGGTCTACAGGGTCTCACTATGTAGATCTGACTCATAGTGATTCTATTTTCAGCCTCCCAAGCACTGGGATCACAGGCACATGCCACCCCGCCCAGTCTCAACTGCTGTCTCAGCGCACCCTGGGGGCGGGGCCAGCACAACATGCATTGGATGGAACCTTTGACCCCTGTGTCTGCTTAAACAGGCACTTTAGTCTGCTGAGCTATCTGGCCGGCCCTAAAAATGTATCTTTTTAATACTTATTGCTTATTCTTAGCAAGAAAAAAATAGTTTCTCTAACTTTTTTGAATACCCCATTCACTTACTGTACTGTACAGTTGTCAGCTCAGGAATTCAGGTAGGGCTCAGCTGAGAGCCAAACTTCTGCGCCATGTGCCAGACTAGGGATGAGCAGAAAGACCAACAACGGTCTCATTCTTGTGCCTGGCACATCTGCAGGAAAGCTGGAAGGTGGCCCGTGACTGGGCCCCTCCTCCAGTCCCTCACAGTTTGGGCTCCACAAGGCTGGAGGTAGAAGCTGCTAGTTCTCTTTAAGGCCAGCTGTGGAACAAGCCAGTACAGTGGTCTCTTCCACTAACCTCTGCTGTTGGTCAGAGCTTGGGGGCAAACCCAGATTTGAGAGCATGGGAAAGGGCCACACGTCTGGGTCTCTTTTTTGTATTAAGTTTTCCACAAGGTTTGCTGTGGAAGTTCATTGTGGTCAGCTCCAGACAATAGGGTATCCCAAGTAAGAAGCAAGATGGCAGATGTGCAAGGACTGAGCCGTCCTGTCTGGGTTGCTCCTGGTGAACTCCCTTCCCTGCCGTGGTGTGTAACGAACAGCTAGTGGAGTTCCCCAACAGACTTAGACTAGTACTTTCCTGGGCCTTTTGACATCTCCTGAGAAATGTATACAGTGTTGTTTCAGTTAGTATCACCCTAGAGTGAACTAATGGTGTCACCACTTCTTTCCCTTGTGGCTACTGCTAATAATCTATAAAGTGTCCTTGAGAATGGGTGTTAAATGGCACACCTTGGGTGTCCCCTGATACTCAAGAGCCTGATGTTTCAAGAAAAGAAGGACTGTGGGCATCCCTGGGAATGTTGAACTCCACAAAATTTACAATCTTAAACCACAAGCAGAGATGTGGTTTCCTAATTAACTTTTTGAAGATCCTGGGCCTCTAAATTAATTTCTTTTCTTTCTTTTTTCCTTCTTTTCTTTCTTTCTTTCCTTCAAGACATGGTCTCACTATGCAGTTCAGACTGGCCTTGAACTATTTTGTAGCCCAGGCCAGCCTCCAACTCATAGTAAGCCTCCTGCCCCAGCCTCCCGCGTGCTGATAAATTAACTTTCTTCTTACTGTGCTACTCTAAATTCCAGCTACTGCCTATCTGAGGGATAATTATGTAACAGTCCAATATTTAATTCTATAATCCGAAAACAAATACGTAAAATCATTTTTACCCTTTTTCTGTAATTTATCAGTTGATACTGTAAGGTCAACTCTGCTTCACGTGCCTTTTTACTCTTGGCAAATGCTTTTATCCTGCATCTTTAACTGGATGCTGATTATGTTATTAGGCCACAGTAATAGTACTGCTCGTGTAACAGCTTAGATTCACAGGCTGTACTTTGTACTTCTGGGGCAGGGCACAAGCTAAGTGGATGGGCGCAGGGCTGCTCGTAGCAGGAGGTGGACTAATTTGCAGGCAGCCCCAGGAAAGCTTTGTCTATTTGTTCACAATCCTGAAGCTTTCAGGAAATCCAAGTTTCAATAGTTGTAAAGCCTCCTTTGAAACTGTTTTCTTTTCAACAGACACACATATCTTCTAAGCTAGAAAAATCAAGGCCTCTCCACGAGTGCTGCGTGGCTGCTTAGAAAACATTCTGAGTGTAAAGTGGGGGAAGGGCCCACTTTGAGACATATGGGGGGGGTTAATGCTCTCCAGCTTAAGTTGCTACATGGACGCTGGTGGCGGGACCTTGTACAGTCAAGCATAGGTTATTCACCCTTGAGATCCTGCCATCTCCCCCCTTTAACTCAGGCCACTGCACTGAGTTAAAAAGATTGGGCTAAAGAGATTTTTCTACTTCTTTTAAAAGTAACTTTTCCTAAATTGGAAACTACCTGTTCTAGCTCAAAGACTTTGCTGGGTATAGATACTTTGTGAGAAAACAGGAGTTAGCTTTCTGTAGTTCAGGATGAAAGCTGGTGTCAGATTTTTACTGCTGTAAGTTGTGAAGCCTGTGGGAGATGGGGCAGGTGGTGGGGATTTACTGCTGCTGTTCGACTCAAGCATCTTGGGCGGCAAGACATTCCTGCCTGGAGAGCTGTTCGGGTGCTGTTCACAAGACCAAGTCATTTCTTACTCAAGGAAGCAAGTCAGAAGTTCCACTCCACCTGTTTTGTGTTGACAGAGTCCATAAAATGCTCTTTTAGGATGTGTGCTTTGGGAAAATAATTTTGATTCGTTTTAATTATTTGTGTGACAATTGGTGCTACACAGAACTGCTCAAAATATTATCAAATATGGCAAGTAAAATATGTTCCCTTTTCAAGCATTATAAATTAATTTCTACATATTGATATTTAGAATTGCTATATGACATTGCCAAATCTTGGTTGGCTTGACTGGCTTGAAATACAAAAATGCTCACCCTAATTATAATTGCCATATTCGTTTTGTGTGTAGATACAGTACCCTGATAGAATTCATCTTCAGGCTGAGTTTTAATTAGATGGCAACATACCTTTTCCAGAGAATGTCTAGGTATGAGTCAAAATCCTGAGGCATTTATCCTATTGTGTATTCTTTCTGGATACATTTAAGACTTGTTTTTCACTTTTCTGCCCACCCAGTGCATTCTCTTTTGAAATCCGCGTTCAATAGCATAGCTATAGAGAAAGAGAAGCTGAAGCAGATGGTCTCCGAACAAGATCACAATAAAGGCCGCAGCACACAGATGGCCCGGCTCCGGCAATCACTGTCTCAGGTAAAGAGAATGTTTGCATGTGTGTGACACAGTCCCAGATCTGTCAGGCAAAAGCTGGGGGTGGAGGCGTCAGTCCTGGGGACAGCACATTCCTCTGATGTTGTCTCAAGATGCTGAAGTGCCAGTGTTGAACTTTGTTGTTTTTCTTCCCCAAAATGTCAAGGTAGGAGTTAAAATAAACCACACTTGGTGCCCACACTTGTCAATTGCTTGCACATGTGTTACTACTATTTTGACTAGTTGAATACTTAATACCTAAGCTCATCCATAAGGTAGCTCTGTTTTTTGTAAAAAGCATCCGGATGCATATGCATGATTTATACGTCTAAAACATATTTCAGAATATAGTCAATCTGCTGGTAAATAGAACAAAATCTACTAGATCTTCCACACATAATTTTTCCACTTAGATTTTAATCTGCTGAAAATTAATAGTTACTATGAACTCATTTCTTTCCCTCATTTGCTCTTTTGGGATTCTCTTCCTAAGATATGTTTCCTGAAGCTAGAGTTAAGCATTTCAATATGTGTTACACAGTTGATCTTGTTAGTACTAATCAAGTCCCTAGGTGTATCAAAATTGAGATTTCTGCTATGAATCCTTCGAAGTTTTGCATGTCTTTTTATACTAAGTTCTTCCTCTGCATGGAACATTTTCTTCAGTTAGTCCACAAATACTTTAATTCCTTTAAGAATTCAATGTTGTTATATGATTTGGTGTGAGAACTTGGTGTTTATATAAAATATTATTCACTTCCTGGTGCCTTGGATCAGAGTGAAGGAGCAAGCAAATCCTGGGTAAGTGGTTCTCCGTGTGGATGGGATCCTGCTTGAATAACTGACTTCATTCCCTAAAAATTAGCCGTATACTGTATTTCCGTGTCTTACGTACTTGAATCATCAGCATATTTTCCATGTTAAGTTTTGTGTTCTGGATTGCTGCTCCTTGGCCACACTTCCTGCATCCACCAGGGTGCACGCTGCTTCCAGCGCTATGCCTGGGGCTCAGGAGCATGCGCATTGCGGCAGCACTGCCCTCCCAGCCCGCAGAGGGGTTCGCTCCCTAGAGCCCTGGAACGTTCTCCTGTCACAAAGCTGGTCAGCACTCAGTTGACACAGTTGATCTCATGAATCATTATTCTGAAAGTGTAGTGAATCAGAAAAATCAAAATAATAGTCAAATAAGCAAACAGATATTTTCTAATGAACACATGAAGTATACTCTTGGTCCCCTAAATGTTGCATTGTTTCCTTAATATGTGTTTAATGATGAAAGTTTAGAGACATAAATAAAAAATGTACTAAGTATAGGAACATTTATTTCTTGCTTGCTGCTTGCTTGCTGTTATTTGCTTGGGGGTAAGAATCATTGCTAGAGATCTAGCTTTGAGCTTCAGGTGAAATTAGAAGTGACTAGGAAAAGAAATTTAAAAGTTATTCATTTGTTCACTCTTTTACTCAACTAACTATATACCAGGTATTGTGCAAGACAGTGGAACACCATGTGATGGGTTCCTAAGAAGCTCCTAGTCTGATTGGGAGGATGAGCAGTATTTGCCCAGGGCACAGTAGAGAAGGGCCCACACCGCAGCATCCACAGCAAGGCATGGTTGTGTGGGCTGTGAAGGCTCCATTTGTTCAGAATGGCAGATCTCTGGCTGAGAGCAGAGCCACAGGTCAGACTTCCGGAATGGACCAGGGAGGACCTACTGCTAGCATGATACAAGTGAAAGAAAGCAAAATTACATAAACTTGCATCCTTCGGGTTAAGGTATTTCTCTCTCTTGTTGACTTCATCGAGGTCAGTGCATATTTATCTGCATCTAAAGTCAGGGCATCCGTAGATTTTTTTTGTTTTACTTTTTGGGGTTTTGTTCATTTGGTTTAGAGCTTTTTTAGCCAAAGGGATAAAAAGGTGTGAAAGTCGTTTGGCACTCCAAAGACTGTTGCGCGTCATCCTCTAGATAATTTGGTGCTCAAAGCTGGGTATTGCCACAGCTTGTTAGCTGTGGTCACATTTTGCATCCACCATTCCCTTCATCTGGGCCAGGAACTTCTTCCCTGATCATCTTACCACTGAGAGGCTGGATTGTATTTTGGAAATCACCACAGTCTTCTTAGACATTCAAGTTTGCTGATAGTTTATTCCTATCTGATGAATCACTATCCGTGATTAGACCACAGGAGAAGTGACTGAAGAATGGAGGGCATGCTGAAATTACTCTAGGAATAGGTAAGTGGGTAGGAGCTAGCTCATCAGGGCGTGCACAGAGGAGTTTGGATTTATCCTGCTGGTGATGGAGAGAACTTGCATTTTAACTGGATTGTGATAATGCTAGATGTTGAATATGGTACTGAATGTTTCTGTGTTTTAGGAAGATTAGCCTGCCATGGTGTAATGTTGAATGAAATTGAAGCAAAAGTAGCTGTGCAGACTCCTAGGATTTAAAGTAATTCAGGATTGTCTTAATGATACTTGGGACAATATTCCTGAACTAAGGAGATACCAGCATCAGTAGAGGAAAGGATAGGCTTCAGAGACATTGAGGAGGAGTGATTGCTTAGAGATCAGGTGAATGTTAGAGAGAGACAAGGAGACAGAGTCAAGTCCAGGTTTTTTACTTAGATACCTGGGCATGTGATAGTTCCTTCCCTCCCAAGAAAGGAAACAAGAACAACTGGTTTATGAGAAATACATGATGAGTGATTTTGTTCATCATCCAGCAGACAACTGGCTGTGCAGATCTAGAGCTTAGGAGAGAGAAAGATGTGAATGCCACGTATGTCAGCGAGGTTCCATGTGTTAGTGAATCGTGTTTCCAACTTGAATAAAGGAGGTTCACCGGTACTGGTGTTGCTTGTTACAGAGAACATTAATATCTTAATAACAGGCTAAGAAAAAAGTATTATTTGATGGAGACGCCGAAGAAGCAGTCAAGAATTGAGGAGTGGTGGTCATTGAGGTCCAGAGTAGAGTTTTAATAGTCTCACAAAGGGAAAAGTTAATGGCATCTGACTAACAGCAAAGAGTGTACAGCCTGAATGTCGACCCTGGAATTTGCAATTATCACAACACGTTTAAAAGAATGAACCAGGGGCCAGGGAGATGGCTCAGTAGAATAAGTGCTTGCCTGGCAAGCACAAGAGCCTGAGTTCAACCCCCAGTTCCACCAAAAAAAAAAAAAGAAAAGAAAAGAAATGAATCAGACAAAGATGCTAAAGGTGGGAGACAACTGGTCCTTGATAGCCACGTCTGTTTTCATCGTCCTGCCTTAAGACTGAAAAAATACTAAATAGCTTGAGTACATAGAGATGATTGCCTTCTATGCTTTGAGTATATTTTTCCATCAGTACAACCTCACATTATATTGTGATTGAAAGGTACCCTGAGGCATTTTTCCTCCACATTCAAGTGTCATGAGTTCAATAGGTCTTCATGACTAGGTCTTCCCACACAAAAGAAAGGTGGGAGAGAGATGACATTTGCATAACTTTAACTAGCCTCACATTTTTAAGCCTATATTTTGAGCTAAGTCCTATTTGATATGTTGCTAATGATCAAAGTGTTGGTTTTCAGTGAGATATTTAAGTACATCTATCAACTCCACAAATCCTGTCAGACCCTTAGAAGTCACATAGCATATAAAACACATGAAATTATTCTTCATTATGTATTCAGCATAAATTGTCCCTTGCCTTAAGTGACTAACAATGTGGAGGGCTGGACAGTGAAATGAATTCTTCTTCTAAAATAATATTACTTCCCCAAACTGTATATGTACAAACATACATTATTTGGCTATTTTAGCCCCATGAAGCTTAAATTAACTTTCAGACCTGAAAGATAGCATAGCTATTGGCCTTATGCTTGTAGAACAGGGTATTTCATGGAGAATTTATCCCTTAGAGACTACTGTATTACACATCAGCTGTAGTTTCATGTCCTGAAACATGTGGTACCCTGAATAAACTCAAGTACCATAGTTGATTAAACGAAGGCAACCTTAGCATCCAGCTCTGCTTGAGTTTAGCTTCCATGCACATGCTACATTATACTATGCTATTGTTAATAGTTTGATTTCTGGGCCCAGAATTTGTGTAAAGCTTGTGCTAAATGTAGGAAATCAAGCCCATACAAATGCAAGCAACAGAATATGACCCATTTACTCCAGCTAGAATTACCATGTTTCATTCAGTTAATATGCCATCAATTGTTGGGTGTGTTATTATTTTGTGCATTGCTGACAAAGAAAAAGACTATCACTGTCAATTGCACTGATGCTTCACTTCAGATCCGCTCAATGTGGGAAGGAATGAATCACTGAGTCAGTAAAATATGGTGTGATTGAGAATGTGAGCAAAAGATCGGCCTCCAGTGTAGTGACGTACTCCAGAATTCCAGTTTCACTCTCTGTCTTTCTTCCTGTCCACACTGTTTTACATATCCAAAGTAAATATTGCATGATGGGCTGGAAGTTCCAAATGGACTTACTTGTTTCTGAAGGCCACAGTTCTTGAGCCTTGGCCAACTACGTTGTGCATGACAATAGTTCTCATGGAATCCTTCGTATTTTGTTTTTTAAATATCTGCCATGTTTAAATTGCTGTCATTTTGCCCATAATTTAGCAATATTTAAAAAGTCTTAAAGAGCTGTTACCCGTGGCCCCTGTAGGTCATGTTGCTGTGACTAGTCTAAGGAAATAATGCTGAACATAGAAAATAATTATGCACGCAAATATTCATGGCAGCATTATTTATTCTGGCAAAATATTACAAGAATAACAATAGGAAATCATTGCTAATGCAGCTAAATTATGTTTCTGAAGAGCTTGCAAGATAAAAATAATACTTATGTGCAAAGAATGAGGGACAAACAGGGAGTGGAAGCTATGCGCCTAGTAAAGAGTATGAAAACAATGAACAGAAAGCAAGTTGAAAGAAATATACCAAACCAGCAAGAGTTGAGTAGTAAAGTAAGAGGTCTTTAAAATATTTTTCTACTTTTTGCATTTTCCAAATAGCATTTTTAATTGAAAGAAATCAAAGGTGGTTTTGAATTGACACCCAGCATCGGTTTTGTGACAGCTCTGTCATTGACAGTTTCACGCTTGCTTTCTCACGCGTGCTGAACCAGTTTTGTTTTATCCAAAGGGTTTGCTTCCATGATGATTGTCTCTTGCAGTGTGTTTCAGGTCTTTCAGTCATGAGGTTGCCATGTTGCCTTCTCAGGTCCACAAATTCCATTGAGTAAAAAGTTTATAACAGTCTCGCCCAGTTTAAGGTAAATTCTCAACATTGTCTTCAGGGTTAATAGCTCAGAACTTCAGATGGCAACTTTTCTCCATTGAGAAGGAATTGTATGTTTCTTGGATTTATTTGACTTGAGTGTCACTGCCATGGAGAGATGAGCACACTATGCTGTGAGCATGAGTATGAAGCCTGCTTAGCAGAGACTTCTGAGACGGTTCCTGGCTCCCCCCAGGTGCTGGCCCTGTTGGGCTTTGGTCCTACAGTCACTAATAGAACTAATAGAACTTTTTTTTCCTCTTCAATTATTTTCTTTCTTTTTTTATATGTTAACTTTATTGAGAAACAAATAGCAATGAGGCAGGTTCAAAACAGGTTAGTAGCGGGGAGATGGCTCAATGGAATAAGCACTTGTCTGGCAAGCACAGGGGCCTGAGTTCAATTCCCAGTTCCACAAAAAAAAAAAAAAGATCTGAGCAAAGCAGGTTAGTAGGACAGTTACAATAATTAATACATTGCATATTGTTTTCTTTGTAGTAGTTTTTCATAGTACAAGATGCAGACATGATATCCTGTCCAAACACTGTTAGTACACATCTTTCTTCTCATTGAATTAAGAGAAAGTAGCTGTATATGTATCTTAACTATTTTGTATATACAGATACAAAATGGTCCTTCATTTATGTCCCCTTTTTTTGTTTAGTTTTGTCAGAGATGGGTATTACATTGCCATTTAAATTTTGTAGGTGTGTGAATTCAGCAAAATAATCCAATATAGTCCAGTAGTCCATGATAGTAGTGGATTACCCATAGGGCTGGCAATGTCAGAAGTTTTAACTTGAGCCCTTTGTAGCTCAGCATATTAATAAGGCCTTACTTTTTATACCTTGTTCTTATACTTTTCTGCTGGATGGTAAGACCAAGATAAAGCAAGACCTATATATGAGCTATGCTGTTAGTGACAGGTCTCCTGAGCTTTTCCTGCTCTTTGGCTGCTGCCAGTGGCTGGTGATCTGCCTCCTTTTTCCTTGCTTTGCCACTGTTTGCTGTTCTCAGAAACATCCCTCACATTATTTCTGGGCTTCTGGGCACTCTCATGCTAATTCACTGAGAGCCCCATTTCCTGGGCAATACTTGTGTCCTTCAATATTCCCACAATTTCTGTGGTAATCAGTACAGAGAAAAGCATTGAGCTCCTGGGAGGGACATCCTAGCGTGGCTCTGTGTGCCGTACCTCACAGCTCTGGGCACCAGGCTCTGGCAGACTTCACAAACGGTCTGCATAATCAGGGCAAAAGGAGGAGCCACCTGGGCAGGATGCACAGCGACGGGCTGCTGCGTGCTCTGCTGGCAGCTTACTCGCTACCACTGGGGTTGCCAGAGGTGGATGTTTATTTCATGCTTTTTGTGCTGTATAACAATTTTTCTCTATCACCACATATATATTAGTAACAAAAGGATTTCTTTTAAACTTTTAGCTTTGAATTCCACGCACATGTGTTTGAAACAATAGAAGCAGGATGGAGTCTTCTACTTTTGTCTCAAGTCTCTGAAGGAGGATATTGCCATACATTTAAAATGAAACCAAACACTGCTTACGTGTGGCACAGTATTAATATTAATATATTGGCCATCAGCTGTAATTCTTTTTCTCCATCTGTAATTCTTTACCAATATTGGTAAATGATGACAGACCAAACCCTTGGCTTTAAATTTTAGACATAATTTTTTTAAAAATTACTTTTGAAATTTGAAAAAATTAAAGAATAAAAACTTCTATTACTATTCCTCTTGATAAGAAATACTTTCGGGCTAGAGAGATAGCTTGGCAGTCTAAGCACCTGCCTGGCAAGCACAAGGACCCAGGTTTGATGGCTGGTACCACGTGCCGTGCCAGCCCTGCGCTGTGCCCGCTACCAAAACCAGATGTGGTGGTGCATGCCAGCCCTGCAGCAAAATAAATAAATCTTAAAAAAAAAAAAGAACCAGAAAAGGCTTTCACCAGAGCTTCTCTTTTACCCTCTTGCTACCTGTTTGCTATCCATTTTTCTGTTGAGGGGAAAGAATTTCAACAATAAAAGAATTGATTCATAAGGACATAAACGTTTAAAAGAAAAAAAAAAAAACCTTCAGGCCATCCCAGTGAACAACGGAATAAACTTTTTATTTAATATAAAAATATTTTATTTTCCTCTTAGAGAACCAGATACTTACAATGTACCCACCGGAAACACAGAAATGTCATATCAGAGTCAGAAACCAACATAGAGCATATCTTTACGTTATTCTGGAGTTGTACTGGCTCCTCATGGTGATAAGCAAAGAGCAATGTAAGATTCTGATTTAATGTTTCAGTCAAATCTGAAGTGGATGTTCATCCAAGGGCCTTGGCCTCACGCAGGTGTTCTGCTTATGACTGGGTGAAATTCTGTGACCCACACTTGCCTTACGTAATGTAACGGATCCGCATACAGCAGTATGGCGTGCATTTCCGGAGGCTGCTTGACTTGATCCATGGGGGCCCTGTAAGGACCAAGTGGTTCACGCCACATGAAGTGGTTCTGCTTTTGGAATACGTGCGGTGGTTGCATGTACTACATACACTGTTGTAGCAAGTGGTGTTTCGTGAGCACCTACTCAAGTGTGTGGAAAGTGGTGTGATGCGGCTAGCTCGGAGTCGGCTTGCTGTTGGTCTTGTGTTCTTTATTATGGTCGTCTGCATCTGCGCTGGTTAGCAAACATCTTCAGTCTGCGCTTGGGTTAGTTCCACTCCACTGTCTTGTGTGTTTGTTGTGTGCTCCCAGAAAGTGAAAATACAGCTGCTTTCTTTATCCAGGCTAAATATAATTCTATGAACTGAAGCCAGGTCACTACTCATTGCATTTTCATAGAAGTCTTACAATAACTACCTGGCTCTGAATGGCTGTCAAACTTTAAAGAGAGATGGGGGAAAGAGAGAGAGAAAGGAAGGGAAAGGAGAGAGAAAGAGAAAAGGAAAGAATTTTCATCCCAGACTGCAAAAGGTAATATATATATGTGGTGGTAGGCTAAGCATAGATGTATGGGCCTCACTGTAAGAGAGATAAAATTCCATATATCATTTTTCTAAAGTGCACTAATGCATCCCGCAAGTCTACTAAGTAGTGATGTTATAGTACAGAAAGAACAAATACCTTAATTCTGAGCCCTCTATTTCCTTCTTACTGATAGAATCTGACTCAATGATTATAAAAGTAAGTGCATCACAGGTGTTGTTTTCAGAGTTATACCTGTGTACCCCTTCTGTTTTATGCTTGCTTATTGATAGGAAATGACACGTGTGGTTTTTGTTGTTTTAAGGCACTCAACCAGAATGCTGAACTAAGGAGTCGGTTGAACAGAATACACTCAGAGTCTATCATTTGTGATCAGGTTGTCAGTGTAAACATTATTCCTAGCCCTGATGAGGTAAGACTCATTTTTAATGTAACAGCACCTATTTCATAGTACCTAAATTTACTGTATATTTTTATCCATTTTGTACAGTTCTTTTACTAGTAATAATCTTCACTCCATAAATACTTGTGTTGCTGACAGCTCAGTGTTCTTTGGAATACAGAATCTCCATGAGCTTGGCATCATTTATTCTTGGTGATCACTGTCTATTTTTATTTATTCCTGTGTTACCCTGATGTCACTGAATATTTAATTTCTACATCTGTTCCAGCCTATTAATTTTCTGTTTCATTCTTTATCTAAGATGTTCATGATCATTGCATGCACGTCCAATGAAATACTGAATAAAAATCATTTTTATTTGAGAAGCAGCTAAGCAGAGGTTTCCTAATAGTGGGACATAGTGTCATCTCAGTATTTGGAAGGCTGAAGCAGGACTCTGTCTCAAAAAAAGTCAAACTAATCAATAAAAAGTAAAAATTAAAAACCTGGGGATGTAGCCCAGTGTAAGGCCCTGGGTTCAATCTTCAGTACTGGAAAAAAAGATGTTTTCATTAGGGTTTAGAAGGAAAAGTCAACTGATCTTGCTAAGATGATGCTAACGATGCTGTGCAGGCCCTGCTGATGCCAATGATAACTAATAGCTAGCGGGTGTCCAGGGCATGCTTGCTGCATGGTAGGCACTGTGCTGCCACTTTGCATGTGTTGTCACATCTGACCTGTGCAGCAGTCCTCTGAGGTAGGTGCCGTGATCTCATTTTCTGGGTTGAAAAAATGGTAAGAGAATAGGAGAACATTCAGAATTTGAGCCAAAATTCAGTGTGCAATTATGTTTAGAAACCTTTATAAAATGATTATTTTATGGCCATGAGAACTTAGACTTTTTGACAGTAATGTAAGAGCTTTGTACACAGTGATACATGCAGGTTAGTTTTAACTAATGCCATAAGGTCATATTTAAACAAAAAGCATTTATTTTCATAGAAATCTCCAGATGCAAGGGTTCTACCATCCAGCTACATAGGACAGGTTGTCCCAAGGCAGTTTATCTTTGACCTTCGATACCTACTCTGTCTGCTCACCTCCAGGGGCCCTGCCCTCTGTGACATTTACATTCACTCAACTGCTCAAAATTTAGAAATGTTTTCTAAAACTGATCATCCAAAAATGATTTAATAATCTTCAATTAAAGTCTTTTTGACTTGTAAGGTATATTAGCATACTTTAATATATATTTGCATATCTTTCTGATATAAACTCACATCCTTGAAAGCAATATTTATTACTGAGAGCTTAAAAAATACAACCTGAAATGAGATTTAGTGCTTTTCTACTGTGCCTTTTAGAATCCTTAGAAACACAAGAGAAGGAATCTTGTCCCGTGGCAAGCGCGAAGGACTTGTAGTCACCCATCTTTTAACACAGTGTGGAGGGATTGACTTTGCAGCAGGGGAACAAGTGGCAGTAATGTGTGCTTCTCTTTTCTGTAGCCTGGTGAGCAGATCCATGTCAGTCTCCCCTTGTCCCAGCAAGTAGCCAACGAGAGCCGCCTTTCCATGTCAGAGTCTGTGTCTGAGTTCTTTGATGCCCAAGAGGTGCTCCTGTCGGCAAGTTCATCAGAAAATGAGGTGAGGCTGCTGCGCATGCATGTCGGCCTCTGCTGCTGGTGCTCATGAGTTTGGGTTAAAGAGGGTAAGGTTGTGGGACTTCTTGGTCGCTGTGTTTGTCAGCTTACATCATAGTAAGGTGCTCCAAGTGTAGGAGAGCCAGAAGCATGTGAACTGGATCGGTTCCCATTTTCCTAAGCATTTGACCATACTTTGGGGCCTTAGCTTGCTACTTTTAAATTTGATAAATATAACAGGAAAAAGTCAAACATTTCTTCTGACTTTTCTCTGATTCCTATTTCGGGATAACCAAAGAGTTGAGGACGGGGTTCTTTCTAGAAGGAGGCTAGCTAATGAACATAAGAAGAATCGGAGAATTTTAAAACTTCAGCATTCAGGTGCACACACAGATACATGCTGTGTATCTTTGCTAGTGATATTAATTGGAGCTGACAAGGACAATGGCTAGCATATATCTAGCTGGGTAATTATGGGTCTTGCAGAGTAACCACTGGCTACCACAAAAGCTGTACTGGATTG